TTGTTCCCTGATGTTCTGATTATGCCACTGATACCTGCTTTCTTGTTCTCTGGGGCTCTCCACTACCCTGTCCCATTGGGCCAGATCCTCTGTTCTCCCCTAGATAAGGCAGAGTGTTGTGATTACTACCCCCCTGAAGAACAGTGCAGACACTGAACCATTTCAGCTCTGGGAGAATGCAGTTCTAGGTCACACCATCCAGGAAACCAACCCCCAAAAGAGATCAAAACCCCAAATAAATCCATCTTTGTTTAAAAGTTTTACACAAGGAAAGCTCATGAGGATGTTCACGCTCTTCATCAATGAAAGAGAGAGATGCACACTAGTCATTCCCCCAGGCAGCAATTATTTACACTGGGTCTGATACCAAATGAAAGTGTTTTTATTAAGGACAAACAGTAGGATTTACGTGGTTGCAAGTGAAAACGGACACGTCAAAGTAAGTTACTAAGTTAAAAATAAAGTGCATAGCTAGTGCTAATTCACTAAAAAACGTATTGCGAGCACATTCTTACCCTTATAAGCTGTTCATATTTAGGCATAATCTTCAGGTCAGAGACATTTTACCCTGACCTGGTCCCCAGCCTCTTATATCTTTCAGGAGTTTCCAGACTAGCCAAAGACAAAGGGCTCATTGATTAAATAGTCTTTCCCTCAGAACAGGAAACTTTTGTTCAACACTCCCCGTTCCCCACTTTCCATGGAAAACTACCAAAGTAAGGCTACGTTTAGACTACGAGGTTTTTTCGGGATATCCCGAAAAACCCCCGCCGCATCCAGGGAATGCGTTTGCACTTCTTTTTTTTGCGGAAGTGCAAATGCACTCTTTCGGAAGCCCCTGTATTCCTCCTTCCACAAGGAAGAAGGGGGCTTCTGAAAGAGGGTTTTTTCCCAACATTTGGCCTAGTCTAGACAGGCTAAAAGTCGGAAAAGTCTCTTCCGACAAAAGAATCAGAAAAAGCTACACAAAACGCGGAGTGCATTTTGTGCAGCTTTTTCCGACAAAACTTTGTAGTCTAGACCTAGCCCCAAAGTGGAATCCCAGTACCAGATGGTATGGTCACGTGTCTTACTAGTCCAATCAATTTTGGACTTACAAGACAAGGCCATTTACAAGTCGTTAAGTTGATCACCAAGTCATTAAGGCTTGAGGGAGAGGTAATGGCTCTCATTAGCACATTTGAAACTATAAGCAGTCTCATGCTATGTATTTCTAACTTTACATACAGGAATGATACATGCACTGAAATAGAATTTGTTGATTATGTGAGGCATTTGTTCAAAGCATCTCTGAGTTATGCATATTAATATAAACCAATTTTCATAAAGCATGGGGGGACCTCTGTATTGCCTAGTAGTACTGCTGATACAAAAGTCCAATACAAGCGCATTGGAAGCATGTACACCTGCAGTATTTGTACACAATCACTTGAAAGAGAAACAAGATACTCTACTATGTAGCTAGTTGTATTAATGTGTAGTATTATTGTGTATTAAGACTCACTAATTTTGCAAACCCCTCTAAAGTAAAAGATAAGACTTTCTGAACACAGAGTTTTCTTTTTAATAGACACAAATAGGCTATGTCTAGACTGGCATGATTTTCCGGAAATGCTTTTAACGGAAAAGTTTTCCGTTAAAAGCATTTTCGGAACAGAGCATCTAGATTGTCATGGACGCTCTTACGCAAAAGCACTTTTTGCGGAAAAGCATCCATGCCAATCTAGATGCGCTTTTTCGCAAAAAAGCCCCGATCGCCATTTTCGCGATCGGGGCTTTTTTGCGGAAAACAAATCTGGGCTGTCTACACTGGCCCTTTTGCGCAAAACTTTTGCGCAAAAGGACTTTTGCCCGAACGGGAGCAGCATAGTATTTCTGCAAGAACACTGACAATCTTACATGAGATCGTCAGTGCTTTTGCGGAAATTCAAGCGGCCAGTGTAGACAGCTGGCAGGTTTTTCCGGAAAAGTGGCTGATTTTCCGGAAAAACTGGCCAGTCTATACACAGCCATAAAGAATAATTTTTTAAACTTCTATTCATACATCATGATAAAGGTAGACTTCAAGTCTAGGCTGCTGCTTTTGATTGACCAACCACTAGAGGGAGACTACAGCAAACCAGAGTTACGACCACTTCAGGAATGGAGATTGTAATTCTGAAATGTTCTTAACTCTAAATAAAACATTATGGTTTCTTCGCACTGAACATTAACTTAATACAGTTTTGAAACTTAATTAGGCAGAAGAAAATTACTGCTTTACTTATATTTAGTAGTTTACAATTAACACAGCACTGAACTACATCTGCTTTTTTATTTGTTGGTTACTGCTGCTGCCTAATTGTATACCTATATTCCAAGAGAGTTGTATTGTTGACTCCTCAGTTTGTAACTCTGGTATTTGTAAACTCTGAGATTCTACTAATCAGTTTTGATCAGTTCTGACTTTCCACGTAATGGGTGGCACATACTTGCATGCTAATTAGTGTATTATGTGTTATCCACATCATGTTAATAAAAGAAGCAGGACTAGGTTTCACTGTCCTCAAAATATCACAGTTGTACCTGCAAAGGAGTCACAGCTTTTTTGTGCTGAACATAGTAGCCTTTTCAGGTAGTCCCTAAAATGATTAATGGGGTTTAATGGACACAATTAAATACTTACAACCTAGGAAAAGAAGGGGGAAGAGACTCCCTTTGGGTAAGTTTAGACTGCAGAGTTTTTCTGGAATACTGGATGTATCCAAGGAAAATCTTTAAAAAAAAATCAGAAAAGCAGATGTGTTTTTTCCACATCCCTGTAAACCCTCTGTTGCTCATCTACACTGCCTTTTTGTGCAAGAGGGCTTATTCCTCTGGGGAGAAGAATAACTCTTGCCCAAGAAGCCCTCTGTTCCAACGTATTCCTGTAAATTTACTTGAGCAAGAACGCATGTGCAGTGTAGATGCACCATAAGTTTTTGCGCAAGAATGGCCACTCTTGCACAAGAAGCCTGCAGTGTAGACACAGCCTTGAAGCCTGAACGTAGCAGCGTCTATTACCTCTAGAACTAGTGCTAGGCACCACCACCCACCACAAAAATGCCTTCCATTTCCCAGTTCCCTCCCACAGTCTCTCAAACCAACCCACAAACACCTATTTAACATCACAAACACACAGGTGAGCCATTGATGCTACTATGGATTTGTCGATGTTCAATTGAGACCTGAAGAGACATTGGCCTGAGGAGGAAACAGCTCTGACAGCATCACACGTTCTCAGTGGCATTTTCAATCGCTATGTCACAAACAAAAGCCAAACCCACAGCGTCCAGTTGCATCTTGTGTAAGGTCTCCAGCTCTGTGTTGGGCATTTGCTGAGCAAGCCTGGCGTTACACAACTTAACTCAGTTGGGAAACGGCAAATTCCCAGTATAGCCATCAGTGCCTCAGGCAGCACAAAGAAACCCCAGAAAGTGCAGGATGTGCGTGGAGATGAGGGAAGTGCTGAGTGGGGAGGGAGGCTCTGGCACAGCCTGAAGGTGTGCAACAGATACTCCCCTCCACCACACACCCATAGCAGCCCCCTCCCGGAGTCCCTGCAAGGGGAGTGTTTGGGCAAAGGCTCAGGAGACATCCACATGCAGCCCAGGTGATTAGCAGAGCGCCCTCAGCTGGGTTTTCCCAATGGTGGTGCAAAGTTTATCCCGCCCATGGACAGAACACAGGCTACGTCTACACTGGCATGATTTTCCAGAAATGCTTTTAACGGAAAAGATTTCCATTAAAAGAATTTTCGGAACAGAGCATCTAGATTGGCAGGATGCTTTTCTGCAAAAGCACTTTTGCGGAAAAGCGTCCGTGGCCAATCTAGACGCGCTTTTCCACAAAAAGCTCCAATCGCCATTTTTGCGATCGGGGCTTTTTTGAGGAAAACAAATCTCTGCTGTCTACGCTGGCCCTTTTGCGCAAAAGTTTTTCGGAAAAAGACTTTTGCCCGAATAGGAGCAGCATAGTATTTCCACAAAAGCACTGACAATCTTACATGAGATCGTCAGTGCTTTTGCGGAAATTCAAGCAGCCAGTGTAGACAGCTGGCAAGTTTTTCCGCAGATGATTTTTTGGAAAAACTTGCCAGTCTAGACACAGCCAAGGAGTTCAGGAGGCACCAGCTGGTTCCCAACAGGCGCTGGATCCGGCGCTCCCGGCTGCAGCATCGCTCCCGGCGCGCCCAGCAGGCTCCAACCCCTGCAAGGGATCCCGCACCCCGCGCTCTCCTCCAGGCGCTCAGCCCCGGACCTTTCTAACGGCTCCAACCGCCCCCGCCCTCTTGGCGCCATGCACGCGCGCGCGCGCAACGGCAAGGAAGCAGAGG